CTGCCTACTTTTTTTTTTTTTTTTAAATAACAGTATGTGAAACAGTATACAATAAGCAACAAATATTTCATAGTATGCTAAAGTGTTGTCACATGACAAACACCGAACATTGATTCAGCACAGCTGTCGAGGCTGTTACCTTATAAATTAATGTGCTAACTGTTCTTTTTACAAAGGCTTGTTAATAAGGCTTCATACTAGTAAACAATGCTATATTGCCCCCAGTTGAACAGTGTCCCATTAGGTAATGAAAAGTTCGCCACACACTTGTGGTCTTCATCCTCACTTGAACATTTGGGCCAAAAGGAAGGAATGTACAACAATTCATTTGCTGATTTATATTGTAAGCGAGATGCTTACTATTTCATTCCAGAAGCATTATTATTATTATCATTATTATTATTATATGATCAAGTGTCTGCCTTCACACACATATTATCAAAGAAAACAAAGAACCAAATGTAGGCGAATACAAAAACCATTTGTATAAAACATTTATAAACATATACATTTTTTAAAAAACCTCTTTGGAATATAGATCCTCTATGTACATTTCTGTGGTCCACACATTCATGAAGTAGACCAGTTAAACTCAAAACTCTACAAAATGACTTGCCCAGCCCAATACAGTAATACAATCTTATGATTTTCCGTGAGGTTATGCCCCACATCCCTGCTGTTCAATTTTCTCTTCTGCAGCCACTGGCAGGATGAGGTGAGAAATTCTGCTCCACAGTCCACTCAGTTTATCCACATCCATTTGATTAAACATAGTGGATTTGTCTGAGATGACAAACTTATGTTTTACATGGTCATGTACCATGTCCTCCACTGCACTTAGACTGGTCGTCGGGGCTATTTCATCCACCGAAAGCATCACAGTGAAGACCAGGAAAACCTTCTTGTAAGCAGCATTCTCGTGGTCACAGTAACGATAGAATATGAGCGTAGATCCAGGAGGGAGCTCCTCAAAACGGTGCACAACAGCTGCAGGTTTATCACCTTCAAACGCTTCCCTCAGCTCTTCATCAATCTCCAGCTTGACCCGGTTACTGTCTTGTGCTCTTTTGGTGGTCCCATTGATTTCTAAGATTGAAGCGTTATAGGTAGCAGAGTACACCCCGGCTAATCTTCGAGCAAGGCAGCCCAATGTCCTTTCAGCCTGAAGGCCAGCAGTCAGAATTACGCTGACCGGTTCAGTGGGGTTGACCGTCGCCAGGTGGCTCTTAAGATGTTTCCCACTCCTCTTCCAGAACACTGAGCGCTGACTGGGAAAAAGAGCTTGTAGAGCTGCTAACTCCAGGTCAAATTTCTCCACTGATTTAGAATGGACCACATCAGTTTGAGGCAAACGGGAGTGTAAGAACTTCTGATAGGTCAAAAAGCCAAAAAAGCCCAAAGCAAGTAATCCTGTCAGTATCAGAGCCCACTTGTACTTGCACATGTACGACGTCCAGCCTAGAAAAACACGAAGTTCTGAATTAACAAAACACTGTGGATGTGAAACAAATCTGATTGTTTTAATTATAAAGGAATGGATGAAGGACTGAAAATACCTCTAGAGGAGGGGGCTGGACTTGCTTTTGAGGTGACTGGTTTCTGCAAACTCTTCAATTCTTGAAGGCAAATTAAGAGAATTATGATCTACAATTTCTTAAATATTATCCATTTTTCTTTACTGGCATAAGACAAAACTATTAATGTAAAATGTTTGAATATATATCTTTAGCAATAAAATTGACAATAGTAATGCTGTAAAATAGTAATAAAAAGGACAACTACAAAAAAATGTTACCTGTGTATTTGTGATTAGTTTGATTTGTGATAGGACGCTGAATTGTTGGGTAGACGTAACTCTTCTGGGGTTCAGTTGGTGGGTGTCTATTCCAACTCCTAAGACCAGGGGGATCTATAGTAAGAACACAACCTTTGATTAAATCAAATGAATGAAAACTATTTATCATATACAGTAAGAACGTGATTAAGCATAATTTTGCACTTTTACAAGGACAAATATGGCTACTTTAATATACAGTATATATATATATATATATAATAAAAATGTTTTACAAACTTTTGTGTTTCTCTGTTACATGATTCTGGTAGTTCATGTTATTCCTATTCCTCAATTTATACACCTCTTGTTGATGTTCCAGTGGAACAGCTCCCATACTAGAGGCATCTGCAATGAAAAGGATAGTTGTGAGCAGAGGTGTGCACATAAGGGACGGGCCGGGGGTGGCTTGAGCCCCTGCCCGTTTAATTGCAAATGTATTTATTAATTGTAATTCAAAAGGTAATTTTATTAATGATAACAAACCTCCACATTTTGTGACTGGTCTGTAATTTTCTGCTTTGGGTTTGGGTATTTCAATGACCTTAATATTTAGATGAATAGGCCTTTGTTTGTTGAGTGACCCTTCACTTTCCAGACTTTCCTCCCTTACATGGGCTGGATGCATTTCTTCTGTCCCAGGCTGGGCTGAGGAACCCACAGAAGGAAAATAACACCCCCGTTAATTTTATTGGATATTTAATATTATAACACTTATGCTTATTCCTCATATAGAATCTTACCTGTCAAACTAGACTCCTGCTCCTGCTCAGTCTCCTCATCTGAGTTCATTTCTTGATCCTGGTCTTCTTTCTCACCCATCTCCATATTTGCATCATCTGTTTGGTTTAAACCATCACCTTTCTCATTTACAACCCTTCTCTTCTCTCCGAGCTTTTGCTTCTTAACAGAGGATTCTGTTTTGGTTTAATAAAAAAAAAAATAGCATAAACATTAGCATTAAAAATACGTTTTGCCTGAAAAACTAAATGTAAGAGAATTTAAAAAAAAAATGTAATTTCACATACCATCCTCATCCTCCTTATTGAGACTCTTGGGCTCCTTGGCTCCATTGACAGCTCTGTATGCCCCATCATCTTCCCTCATTTTCCAGGTTCTCTTTATTGGGCTTCTGGGTTTAAGATCCTCACTGTATAAAGCTAAGACAGAAGAGGAACTGAGTGAACCTTACAGAAATATGCCAACAAATTATAAGATTTTTGTTAAGTATTTTTGCTTGTTATGCGCCAGCGGAAACCGACACACCACATGATCTTGACAAGAAAATGAATGATTTTAAAGTAAACAGAGACATTAGCAACTATACATTGAGAACTTTATTTATAATCTTATAAGAAATCTATAAAATGTAAACGATATAGAGATCATTAAAAACGGAACTATTAGCCCTTTAGCTCATATGCTCAAGCTAAACAGTGGATATTTTAAAAGTTCAGCCTAGTTAGCAAATACTTAAAAAAGGTTAAATAACAAGCATCTTAATCTACTGAGAGAAAGAGAGTGTAGCTTTGGAAGTACATTTTTCTCCGTATTATTACTAGCATGAGAGGTAACGTACAGACACAATCATGAGACGGTGTGTAAGACAATTGCAGTTCAACGTTATAGTTATATAAAGTAACGTAACGTGCGGAGAGATTGACCTTGACATAATTTGTTTTGCATTTATTGATACTATCTACAGGCACGGATATGCACATAATCTTAAAGACAAGCAGCGAGTCGTTACGTTTTACGCTACGCAACGTTAGCCTGTTTCGTTTAACAGGTTTCTATATAAAAAGGAAACCCTTAACATGATAATATTGTCTTTCGCCGTGGATTACGGATTCGCTCTTTTGGCAATAGATAATATTTATTGCAGGTAAATAATATTTGGTGCTTGGACACTGTTGTAGTAACGTTACATTATTGTAGTACATTAAGCCACGTTAAGAGTATTAGAAAGTCAAACCTTGCGTGGGTGCCTGTCTGGCGCTTCTCCTCCTAGTTGTTGGTCCATCTTCTTTAGAATCACTTGTGTCCATTTTTTATATTTCACCACTTATTATCAAACTTTTTACTTGTCCAGTGCAGCCGAAACCGGAAAGCGGAACATTAATGATGGTCTTCGTCGGAGCGACTTCAGTGAAACACAACTTCTCTCCCGGAAATAGTTGAGGTTCACAGTTAGTTTCACTTCTACGGCCATTTATGGTTGTAAAGTTTGCATTGTTCAATAATCTAAAAAAAAAAAAAGTTAGTTTCACTTCTGTAAATACAGCTTGAAGTAATTTTAACAAAACAAAAATAAATAAATAAAAAAACGAAAACACAAAGGAAAAGAAAAGTTAAAAGGGCATCACAAACATATGTTAAATTCATTTAGCAACGACATAGTTCTTTGGGCTTTTCGTTCTTTTTTTTTTAATTTTACAGATTCCAAATAAGCTTTAAAGGCTGTTAGAAAATGAGCAAACTGGGGTTTGAGTTAAATTAATTTGTAAGTTTTTGTTTTGTTAACAAAAACAGATCAAATATTTTTCTTTTAGAAAAGTCATATTCATTTGAATGAAGTAAAACAAATGATAAATTTAAGACTAGGACGCAGTTCATTTTAACACTTAGAAACTGTGTAACTCAGACCAAAACAAAGAGGAATAGGGACATTCAAAAAAAAAAAAAATGCACGATAGACTCTCTTTTACAGTTACAGAAAGAGCAATTATAATCTATATCCAGATGAAAACGCTCTAATGTTTCTTTCACAGGAATGTGAAAAATATGTAAAACAAAAACTTTCTGTTGAACTGTGTAATTTTGAAAGTTTATTAAAAAAAATTAAAGTTAGTTTCACTTCTGTAAATGCGTTAGTACCTTACTAGAATTAATTCGTGTTCATCCCTGCCTTTAATGTTTAACTAGAAACACGTCATAGGAAGCAAAGTAGAGCTGATACATTTATTAAGGTTAACAATTTATTACATTTATTCATTTTCTCTAATAAACTAATCTCTAAAGTCATTGGTGTTTGGTAATGAGTTTTTGGCCTTAAGGTCTGCATTTAAAGTCCCCCTGTAGTCAAAAATGTTATCCCTTAAAACTCTTTAAGGGAGTTTTTTTTTTAAGTCACACCAGAGGTGTTCAGCTGCGATTAGGACTTGGCTTTCTGCAGACCAGCCAAGTTCTTTCACACTGACTGAATCAATCATTTCTTTTTTAACCTTTCCTTATACATAGAGGCATTGTCATGTTAGAATAGAAAAGGCTCCTGTCCAAACTGTTGCTATAAAATTAGAAGCACACAATTCCCTAGAATATCATTATATGCTTAAACATTAAGATTTGTACTCATGGAAATTACTAAAGTAGTCAAACCTGTTCATTAGAAGGGGGGGGGGGGGTTTGCGGAACTTTGTATGTTATAATACATCGTGTACACTCACTAAACAAAGAGTGACAGAGACAGAGACAGTGACAGAGCAGAGCCAATTCATAAAAGCACAATACTTAAAAGCACACCTCCAGTTTTGTGTGAGTGAAGGAAATCCGCTTGGGAGTGGAGAGATTCGTCCTTGCGCACATGGATCGCGTAACATTATGTCTGGTAGGAGGGGCACCTGGGGTGGCCAGCCAAATTTCAGGGGGGGCCGGTGCCACCCCTGGCCACCACATAGACACGCCCCTGGGTCCCAACACTTTTGGCAATATAGTGTATATAGTGTTGTCACAATTATTTTTATTTTACAAAATAAAAATGACTAGTTGACCTCTAATTCCCAACATTCTCATATCTTCCTGTTCAGCAATTTATAATTTCCTGCAAACCAGACCTACCATCCACTTTTTCATCATCAGACAGGCCTGGACCTAGAAGCAGAAGAAGAGTTTTAGCTATTTTGTTGAGAGTGGCTGTTAAATCTGATTAATCTCTGATTCCTGACCTGGTTCCAACCTCAGAATTGCTTAAACATGACAACACTTATAGAAAGCAAGCAAATGCAATAATATGCTTTAATCTCAGGCTACCTCCTTTTATGCCCTCAGCTGTACTGTCGTTCTCTCTGTCCACTTGTCTCTCTTGTGTATCAGAGTGAGGGTGGCTCTCGGTCTGAGAACTACTAGGAATCTGTGTCGTCTTCTCTGTGTGTCAGACAAAGAAAAGTACATAGTGTTGTGTGCACTAACTGAATGTAAACTGTGTTATAAAACATTACAACAAACAAATAATAGTTGACCTCTAATTCCCAACAATTCTCCTGTTCAGCAACCATTTTGACAAGTATTAATTCTGTATGAGTCAAAAAAAGTATAGTCATAACTTCCTGCAAACCAGACCTACCATCCTCTTTTTTAGGTGCATTATCTGGCAAACAATCACCAGAGGGGCCTGGAAATAGAACCAGAAGAAGAGTTTTAGCTATTTTGTTGAGAGTGGCTGTTAAAGGGATAGTTCACCCAAAAATTAAAATTTGATGTTTATCTGCTTACCCCCAGGGCATCCAAGATGTAGGTGACTTTGTTTCTTCAGTAGAACACAAACGAAGATTTTTAACTCAAACCGTTGCAGTCTGTCAGTCATATAATGGAGGTGAATGGGAATCACGGCTTTGAGAGTCATAAAACATACACAAACAAAACCAAATTAAACCCTGCGGCTCGTGACGATACATTGATGTGAAAAGACACGAAACGATCGGTCTGTGCAAGAAACTGAACAGTATTTATATCGTTTTTTTACCTCTGATGCACCGCAATGTCTGAACTGTCCTGAGTGCGTCCTCGACAGCGGCAGACTTATAAGTGCATTACCGCCACCTATCTCTCAAATGGACCATTGACACTCTATCTACAATCTCAATTAGGAGTGTCAATGGTCCATTTGAAAGATCAAGCCCGATTATCTTGTGGTGTGTACCCAGCATAAATAATCATAATGACACCACACAATAGAGGATTTTTGGGACAAAAAATCGTTTGCGACAAGCCGTGAATCGGGCCACACCCCCCCGATCGTTCGGGGATGCAAACCGGGCTTAAAATCGTCTAGTGTGCAGCCAGCCTTAAGCCCAGCTCACACTACAGGATTTTTTAGCCCGATTTCCCCCTCCCGAGAATCGGAGCAAAAATCTCGATCGGTCCCGATGTTCGCCGCAGATTATCTGGTAATGTGAGGCATTCGCCGATCGAATCTAGCACCTCCCGATCTGCTCGCACACAAATCATGTTTGATATTTAGGATTTAAATCGGGATGACGACGGCTATAATTAATCAGTACTTTCACAATAGCCAATGCACGACTGCAAAACAGCTGCTGTAAGGCTCCATTGGATAGTGGAGACGGAGGAAACTGCTTCTTGATGTTTTGTAGTCTGTATAGTGTGTCAAAAACGTATCACAACTGTAATGGTGCGTTTCCACTGGCACGTAGCGAGCGCAGCAGAGCGAGTGTTTTCAATTCATTCCTATCCACCTTTTTCTTGTCGTAACCATTTGTAAATTCTATGGGTCTGGCTTCCGGTCTCATCTGCGTCCACTCCGTCCAGCTATTTTTAGCTGAACAAAACAGTTCGTTTTGCTGCTTGATATTGAAAGTTGGTGTCTTATCATATTATTTTAATGTATTATCTTAATTATGAACACACTGGTTTGTAGTGCAAACAGTTTTCCCGTTTACTGCACGTTGTTATTCTCCTCGTTATTTACCTATAGCAGCTAATGAACCGGAAGTCTCACCCATAGGCTTACTTCCGCGTTGAAGAAAAAAGGTGGATTGAAGCTGAGCTTAAACGCTTGCGCGGTGCATTATGGGATTGAAAGCGTTGAGAGTGGCTGAGAGCGTCAAAAAGTTTGGGCGTTCCTCGACTTTATGCAAATATCGAGCGAAAAACGCTGGGCGACAATCACTGTGAAAAGAAGAGGATGAAACGCAAACAGGGTGTAAACATTGTTTTCAGAGGCCTGCTCTCCCCTAAATTTGACACGCCCCAAAGCAGTGGCATTGTAGCGTTGCCAGCGGCACTGAGCGCAGATTTGATGCTGTAGTGGAAACGCACCTTGAGGAGAAAGAGAAGCGCTGGGAGCTGCTAGCACCCTAGCGAACATATGTAGGCCTAAACAACACTGAAATATCAGTGATGATCTGCTGCGTGAGATCACGTGCTCCCTCTGGCATGATAATCTTAATAATATCTTGTGGTGTGCACTGTTGGGGAGTAACTAGTTAACGGCGTTACGTAATTTAATTACAAAATAAATGTAACTAATCAGTTACAGTTACTAATTTAAATCTACCCAGGTAGCCAAAAAGATCTGGCCCGATAACGGCCCAAATC